AGGAAAGGCACAGCTGGCCTGCAGCTGCTGGGGGTGCCTGAGCAAGAAGTCATGCAGCCACCCCACATGGTGACCAAGAAGGGCGGCCCCCACCAGCACAAAAGATGGAAAGTGGAAGTTGGCTGGGGGGCTTCACCTGGGGAGGACCTGTCCAGCAAAGAGCTGCCGGTCGCTAATGAGCGTCCGCACAAGCTCTCACGACTTCCTGCAGCAGCCCCCCATCCTGCGCAGCCCCTATGGCCCTGCCCACCAGTTCTCCTGAACTCATCCCCAGGAACACGGCTCTCGGAGGCTTCCCGAAGGCGTGCTGGCATGCTGGTTTCTACCTCATGCTTCTTTTCTGCCCCAAACTGCCCCTGGCCAGCTTTCACGGCCCCTCAAACATCTGCTAACACAACAGTTGCTGCCTGTTCTGAGGCCTGCTCAGGGGGGTTCGGGCCTCAGTGTGTGGGCAGCTGCAATCAATCAAACCTCTGTTTCGGCATCCCGACCCCTCCCCGCAAACATCTTGCTTCTGTTTGAAGCACTGAGAAATACAATTTGTTGCTCTTTCAAGCTGACCAGCTTGGAGTTAAAAATACAGCAGGGACTATGACACCCGGGGGACTACATTCAATGGGTGATCTTTTTCATTGTTGCTTTTTTCTGAAATCTTCGCTCATACACATGTGATCCCTGTCTAAATGGCCGCCTATAGCCCAAGTCTTGCTGGGAGCCAACCAATGCTGGGTGGTCAAACCAGGTCTCAAAAAAGCAGTAAGGAAAATGCCAGCAAAAGTCCTGCTAATAAACAACTCACACCCTCGGGCTGGGCCCTGCCCTCAATGGCACACATTGTCATATTGCAAAAGGAAGGCCACAGCGTCACAGAGAACAGCAACCAGACGGGATGAAAACACCACGTGAGGAGGGAGGCTGTGCAGGAGGTCCCGGGGCCAGCTGGAGTGGTGGTAACAGGGAAACGAGTCCTCTGAGCTGCCTGTGGGCAACTTGCTCTGTGGAACCGAGTGGTTGTAAGTACAAGTCCAGGGAGGGCGGACACTGCCGCCCTAGGTCCTTGCGTCACTCTCCCCAGCAGGGCTTTCCTCACTAGTCAGCCTCCCCAACTGAGGACCCAGATGGCCTGCTCACCTGCGGCCTCATTCAGCAGCTCTGCCTGCTCTCCTGGCACTGGGTTGTAAGAAGACGTGAGCAAAGACCACCTGAAAGCCAGGCCTACACCCCACCCAGTGCATGTCATCCCCGAGAGACAGGAGCCCCCACTGCCGTTAACTGGACAGCTGTGCCCCAGAGATGGGCTCGGAAGGGGTGGGGTGGCTGGCGGGCCCCTGGGATATTCCACCCTAGTTTCAAGGGCGACAGACATGAGAATGCTCACACTCGGCCAACTTCCTCTGGCGAGGGGTGCGAATCTGATTCCGTCACCATTTCATAACCCTGGGCTCTGAACAGAGCTGACCGCAGGCTGAGCCGAGCCACAGGGCAGGCCTCCTCCCCATTTACCAAAGAAAAGCGATGAGGCAAGAAGGTGAACAAACAAGACAAAGTGGCATGAACAGAAAAGGGAGGATGGAACACAGGGAAAACGGTGGACAAAGAAAAAGAGGCATTCTCATAGCAGACCGAGGGCACCTCCCGGGAATGTCCACCCTCTGCTCCTCGTTCTGTTAGAAGCAGCCCACACCTTTCCTCCAAGTCCTGTGACTGTGACGATGATCACGGATGTTTGTCAGCACCCACCCTGGGCCAGCCAGTGCACCGGGTGGGACGTTTATGTACATATAGATACAGATGCACACACGTGCATATCAAAAGATGTGGATACACACACACAGCTATAGATACACACCCATATGGACTGACACACACATACACATAAGCGCATTCTCCACACACGTCGCTTCCCTTGCACCTCCCAAGTCCTGTCCTCCCACATGTTAAGCAATTTGCCCAGGGCTTCCAGTCTCTGGCCCCACCTCTGGAGGCCTTCCGGTTTGTCAATGTCACCTTCTAAATGCAGACCCAAAAGTGAACACCACGCCCAGACGAGCCAACAGAGGGGACCAACAGAGCTTCAGTTTCCTCAGGAGGGACTGCAATGGCCAACCTCTGAGGTCACATCTCCTGACATCCCCTGCACAGGGTCTACACCCAGGGAGCCTGCTCCTGCTGGACTCAACTGTGGATACAGACAAGGGCAGGTCCTGGGACCTCAGCGCTTCTAGCCCTCTTACTCTCTCAGGTTCTCTCCCTGGTCCCTTTCCTGCCGGCGGGTTGGAGGGGCTCCAGCTAGCACAGCCCATCTGGCTACACCGTGTCATGGCCAGAGGGAAGCCCCTGTGTTCTCACACACACCCTCAAGATCTGCTCTGGGACCCAGTCGGGGCCTCTAGGGGAGCTGGGGCTCTTTAGAACGGCCAGCTGTTCCAAAGGTCTAACTGAAAAGGCTGTCTGCACCTTTAACCTGAGGCTCTCACACCCCTGGCCTCAGAGCCCACAGACGAAGGGCACCTTTACAAGAATGTAAAGTGTAGCTCTCACCCCCAAAGGCAAAGGTGTGAACCGAGATCCAAAGGCCCAGGAAAGAGAGGCCAGAGAATGGTGGAAGGAAGCAGGCCTCACCTAGTGCAAGCCTGCCCTTCCAAAGATATGGAAAGCCCAACTCCAAGCCTTACTTCCATGGGCAAGTAGGGCAGGCCCCATCCCCTTCTTGGTGGTCCCAAATGTTGAGTGAAGCCACAGCATGCAGATGCTAGGGTCTGTGGCCAGTGGTCCCACCTCAGTGGCCATCTGGCAACATGTTAGTCCTTGTACACCGGCAACACACCCAGCTCATCAGGTTCCCATGCATGAGGCCCTGCAATGCCCAGGGCTCTTGACAAACACACGGGGATACCCTAGGCCTTGTTCTCAGGGCCCCATAGAAGAGCAAGGCCCACCTCCCCAGGCTAGAAATCATCTGATGGCAGAGTCTGACAGAGAGAGGGCTGGCCAGGGTCTAGACTCCTGGTGCGGGCATGGCTCAGCGTCCACAGGCCCAGCCTCAGGGCTCACATGCTTCCCAGAGACCCCTCTCTACTTTCCCTGTGCCCGGGACCCACTGCCAAGCAGGAGGCCAAGGACAGACAGGCTGAACCAGAGCAGGCTCCATGCACTTCCCAGATCCAGGAGGCCCGCCTGGAGCCAACGAAGCCGTCTATACAACTGGGCACAGCCCCACCGAGCAATATTATTTTTAAATAGTTTCTCACCAAACGAGGTCAGGAAATGTCTCCAATGATGCCAGTGGTGTTATTCCAACTGTGGCTAGTAAAATATAATAACATGTATGTTGTTTTTATTACCTATCTAGCTTATTAGGTAATAAAATATGCTCGGCATTAAAAATTTAACTGAAGCCGTTATCATACCCAGAACTCTGGACTGTGGGTTTTCATCAGAAGTCACCCAAATCTGTCACCTCTCCAGCCTTTTTACCTATGTAAACTTTTCTAGAGAGGGGAAATTCCTCTGGGTATCCAATAAATGTGTTCAATTCCTGTCCAGCTAGTAAAGTAAAAAACGTCCACTATGCAGGAAAGAGAACGGCACACGCCTGGAGCCGCAATGGAAGAAACAGAAACTGGATGAGGAGGGGCAGCTCTGCCCCACACCCCTGCAGGCCCTCCCCTAAGCGGATCGCACTGGCACAGAGGAGGCACAAGTACACCACCATCTTGCCCTCCTATTGCCCCAGCCAGCGCCCAGGCTCCTGAACAAAGGTGGTCAGAAAGTCTGGACTCGGGGCCAGGTATGCTCTGGACCTAAGACACCTGCACCTCTTCCCTTCCGGGTAGACCTCTATGTTAGGAGTAGGAAGTAAAGGAGAGAGGGGCAAAACCCCATGAAGAGAAACTGCACTCTCTTTGTAAAAGGAAAGAAGACCCAACTGAGAAAACAACATCAGGCACTGAAGGAAGTCAGCTATGCCCGCCTGAAACACAGTGAGCACGATGATCCTGCCTGCCCTGGATCTGGCCAAAATGCTGAATGACCAAGGCCAACCCCTCTGAAACCATCCTCACCAACAAGATGATCTTCACCCTCAAACCCAGTGAGGACCAATGTTTATAGAAACAAGTCCAGAAAAGATGATGGTCAGACCGTGGCATTAAGCAACTGACGGCGTCCTGAATGAACACAGAACCAAGCTCATTGATCCCTGAGTCAGAGGTCATGGGGGCCAGCACCACTTCCTGGGCCTCATAATCACCTTGCCATCCCCAGCCACGAACAGAGGCAGCAGGCTCACAGCCTCTCCTGATGACGGAGTATTAACTCCAAGTTCATCTCACTCAAATCAACATCCAAGATCAGTGTTAGCACAAGGCAGGGCTCCAAGACAAAGAGGATAAAGTCCAAGTGACAGGAGCATGTGGCCAGACACTTCCTCTACAGTGAAGGGCAAGGATGACTGCAGAAGCAGCTCAGAGGATACTGATCACAACTTCTCGACGGCCTCATATTTCAACAGTTTAATCAAAGGAATAAACTGCCCCCAGTCACTAGCTCTCAGCAACCATTACCCACAAGCCCAATCTCAGGATCAGCATCATCCAAGGGACACTGAATCCCAGTGTGTGTGAATGTTTCTTGCAGCAGCTACAGGGGTGGCTTCCTGGGAGAGACGGCTCCAGTGAAGGGCCAGAGGGGATTCCCAGTGTTTGGTCCCTGAGTCTGCCCACCAACGCCCCGCCTCTCACCATCTGGCTGCCCTTGTACCCCTAGCACTATGCTCACAGTGAAAGGGAATATTTGGTTGTAAATAGAGAGAAAAAAAAAAAAACGTGTTTTAAAAACCAACTGGAAATAAGCTATCTTTGAACAGGTTTAAAAAACAAGGAAATTAACCAACTCCTGCGTATTTCGGAAACTGGAGTTCTATGCTTGTCCAGGATGGCCCAGAACCAGCAGAGGCTCCAGTGAGCACCAAGGTGACTCCAGGCTGCCAGGACTCTTACCTGTGCCATCTTGGCAAGGTCTAGAGAAGGCCTCTGCTCTTGAACTTCTTCAGGGCGCCGCCTTTTAACACCGACCTTCTTGTCATTAAGGACACATGGCTGGGAGCGGCTGCGGGAAAGGCCACTGGAGCGTCTCGCCAGCTCTGGCGTTGAGGCAGGTGTGCTGCTGGCTGAGGGAGGACAGTATTCCACAAAGGAAAACTGCTCGTGTGAGCAAGAGAGGGACCGCTGCAGGTCCAGCCGGCCCCCTCCCATGGGGTATGGGTCAGGGCTCCAGGTGTCACCTGCCTGTCCACAGGGGGCTGAGCCTGGCACCCCTTGGCAGTGCGGCCCTCCAAATCGGTGGTGGAGTCCTGCCTGGTCACAGGGGGAGGAGAGCGCGTTGGCCCGGGAAGGGAGGCTGAAGCTGGAGCTCCTCTGCATGGTGCTGAAGCCATTGGAATAGCGCTGGACGCTGCCCCCGCTGTAGCAGCGTCTCTTTTCCACGGGAGTCCAGACTTTGGAGCCCAAGGGCCTCCATGATGTCCGGCAGCTGGACATCTCATCGGAGAAGGACAGTGAGCGGCACTGGCGCTTGCTAGGGGGTGCTGAGGGGTTCCCGTTGTGGTCACTGATGCTGAGGTCTTTGATCAGACTGGTCACAGCACAGGCGGTCACTCCCTCCCGGTGCCACAGTGAGCTGTCCTTTTCAGGCAGGCATTCCCAGATGCTGGTGCTTGGTTGGTCAATCTGAAGAGGGCATTTCCTGTCCAGGTCTCGCCATCTGTCATTTTCTGGTTCATAAATGACAAGGAGAAAACAGAATTTGAGAAGGCCTTCACTCCAGACCTCTATTAGCTCCACACCAACAGCCCATTTCAAACATAGCATCTTAAGAGCCAAAAGGCCCCTAGAAACCATCCAGTCCAACCTCATGTTACAGATGAGAAACCGAGGTTCAGAGAGGGGAGGTGAATCCCAAGGCTTTGAAGTGGAAGCAGAGCAGGGCCTAGAATCCAGATATACCCCTGGGACTCCTGATAGGGTTTTCTTTCCAGTATACCACACTGCCTCCCAGGAGAATCCAAAGCAAATTTTCATCCAAAATGCCTTCTCATCTTATGGATGGGAAACCGAATCGCCCTGAACCCTGCCCTGGCTGGCAAGAGTCAGGACAAGACATGTGTTAAGTGCCACTAGGTTGCAGCTCTCAGGACTGGGACTTGATGCCCCAGCAGAAGACCACAACCAAAAATGTCTCTCAACACCTCAGATGGCCAAGGACACAAGATGGCTGGGGCACTGCCAGGTTAGTTCACCCAAATTCCACCTTTAAAGCCTTTGCTAAGAATAGAAGCTGGAGCTTGTACTGATTTAGGTCACCTCCACCAAAATGCTCAACACCAACATCATCAATGGCTGCCAATCACAGCGCTTTCCCTGTGTTCACTCGATTTTTCACTTAAAGCAATTAAAATCTGTAAGGACAAGTCTTGGGCTTCACAGACTTAAGGGCACCACTTAAACTTATGTATTCAGGTCTTTACTTGAATACATGAATAAATAAGCTACTCTGCTATGAAATGCTACATTTGCACTTGAACCTTTATTTCTGTGAAATATTCAAGAACTAGATACTGTATTTCTACTATGGAATCAGGCACCATGCTGGGAATTTTAAGAGATGCAAAGATAAATTTGAGATCGCTCCTGTATTCAAGTTTATAGTAGAAAAGCAAAGTTAGGAAATATGCCGTGCTATCAGGGAACAACTCGTTAGCACTATTTCCTCGAACCTATATATATTTACAAACCATGCACATGTGGATGGCTTGAGCCAGTCAAGAGAATAGAAGTGAGACCTGCAATGCTACTCGGTAGGTATTTAAATGCACGCCGGGTCTCAGAGCAATGCAGATCACTTACTGAGCATTTACCCTGGGCTGTGTCATCCACACAGCACCCTGTGTACAGGTACAATCATGGACCAGATAGGGAGACTGAGGCTTGGGGGACATTGAGCAACTAGCCCAAGACCACACGGCTAATACCTGACAGGGTGTACACCCAGGTTAGTCAGGCCCCAGAGCACAGGCCCTTTTCTATACTACAAAGCAAGGGCCAGGAGCCCAGAATAAAAGCCAAGGCAGAGCTAACGGTGGTAGTCCTTCTTCTTGGGCATCCCGCCAAGGTCATGAGATAAGGATTGAGGGGCTGGGACCCTGGCAGGGAACAAGGGAAGAAATTGTCCAGAGGCTGTCTTCACGGAGCGCCTCAGAAGCTGGAGATGCAGGAGGGAGACAAAAGCCCAGGCAAGCCGGCTGCAACAAAGCAGGACTGTCGCTAAACATCCGATTCATTCATCACACGCTGTTCATCTCACCTCTGAGATCTCTCAGGCCCTGACCACGGCAGGTCTCGATATCTGCTCCTCCAAAAATCATCCAAAGTACCTTCCTGCAAGTTCCATTAGGATATTCAAATATGCTTCAGCACCCAAGGAAACCACTTCCTTTAGGTATTCACCATTCTGTTAAATCAGTTTCAGCTTGACACTAGTCAGCAGCTGAAAGTTCAATAAACTAATATAAAATTTTTTTTTGAGACAGGACCTGGCTCTGTCGCCCAGACTGGAGAGCAGTGGCATGATTTCAGCTTACTGCAACCTCCACCTCCCAGATTCAAGCTATTCTGGTGCCTGGCCCTCCTGAGTAGCTGGGATTACAGGCATGTACCACACACCCAGCTAATTTTTTTATTTTTTGTAGACATGGGGTTTTACCATGTTGGCCAGGCTGGTCTCAAACTCTCGGCCTCAAGTGATCCGCCCACCTTGGCCTCCCAAAGTGCTGGGATTACAGGCATGAGTCACCATGACCAACTATAAAGTAAAATTAAAGAAAATATAAACTCTTGTTGACAGAGTCACAACTATTCCAGTTATCTGACTTAAAAGAAAACGAAGTTATCTTAAGAAGAAAGTGAAGATTTATGTATGATGATGTTCATCAAAATGAGTCATAGCAAAATGGTAAACATAATTTAAACATCTTACAGCAGGGGGCTGGTTAAATCAATTATCAAGGAATAACATGGAGCATGAAGAAGCAGAGTTTCAAAGAATATTAAATGGCGTGCGGAAATGCTAGTAATATAAAGCTAAGTGTAAAGAAACAGGATATAAAACTGTATAGACGATGTGATTCCTACTTAGTAAAATGGGTATGTTGTGGTAGGAAGGAAATAAACCAAAATGTTAATAGCGGATTGGCAGAGAACTGGTTAATTTATTTTTTCTCTTTAGTTTTTCTATAGTCTCCAAATGTTCTATGAGAAAAAATGTATTACCAAATATGTGGGGGGTGTGGGCACCAAGCCCACGGGTGCTGTGCCCTTGCTTAACTCAGGAGGTGAGCCAGGGTCAGGGTGGGGGCCCATAGCCCGCCCTCCTCTGGGTTGACTCCTCTGGGTGTTCAGGAGGTTGCCATACGAAAACGCTGGCCACTAACTTCTCTTTTGGGACAAGGCACTGAGGCACCAGATGGGGCAGGAATGTGGCCGACTGAGGCGGAAACCAACGGGCTGGGCACGGAGCGGTGAGGGTGGCCGGCGCGCACAGAGCCCGAGGCATACTACAGACTGTGTCTCCATCAGGTCTCAGGGAAACCCGGGATAAAAAGGAGTTAATCCCACTCTCAGAGGATACCATCTTCTCTTCCATCTTTGTGCCACTGGCCTGGAATTTTCCCCACCTCTAGGGAAATCATGAAAAGAAAGGGGAATTGGGAGCCGGGTAAACAGGAACACGCCCTCTCGCTCATCTGCTAGTGCCCTTCCTTTCCACGGCCGTCCTGCAATCTTGGTGCTTCCTAAAGGGACTCCTCAGGGCCTCCCTACTCCAGTCCTATCTCCTCACTGCCTCTAGAGAACTTTCTGAAGCCCCCACCTAGTACCTATTGTGGCCCATTCCCTTCAGCTGTTACCCGCTGCTTCTGGGAAAGGTGGCAAGCGCTTCAGATTGGCACCTGGGCCCACCTCCCCATTGTTCCCCCCAACAAACCCTACGCTCCAGGTATCAAACCTCCTATGACAGTGAAGGTCAGAAAAGAATCATATAGCATCAGATTCACCCTTGAAGAATCCCTGAACCAGCCCACAAAGTACACCTCCTCCCCCGGCTCTGCGTAGACAGCCCAAAAGAGTAATTCTTACGCACCAGCGATTCTTTACAAAACTAAAGTTTAATAACTGTACTGCGGGAGCGAGCACAGGTAAGATCTACATGCAGAAAGGCTGGAAGTCCCACTCGCGGGGCCTCGAGGGGACTATCAAAACCCAGGACATCAGAGCTGGATGACGAACTCCTACAGGACCTACTCATCCTGTGTTACAGAGTAAGCCTCTATGGCCTAATATATAAGATTTCTTTGTTGGGCGGAGGATTCAGTCAGTTTTTAACTGTGAAGGGAAGTGCAGCTTCCCCCAAACATCAGCTCTTTCACTCTTTGCAAAGGCCTGGAATGTTATTTTCCTGCCTTCATCCTCCCTTCACCAAGTCAGTCTCCTCATTTAAAAAGCCAACTCAAAGCTCCTCTGAAGATGCACCTTCTCCTAGCTCTGTGCACCCGAACTGTAATTACTGATCTGCTTACACATCTACTTCTCCTCCTAAGCCACAGACTCTCAAGCACAGCCCCAGTGAGGCTCCCCGGTGCCGAGCACAGAGCGGGGCACACAGCAGACCTGAGTCTGGTGCACGGATGAAGGACTGGATTGCAAACTGAAATAAAAGCTACAAGAGGATGTGGCGCTCCCTTGGACTCATGTGTCTTTTGTCCTTGGCAAAGGTGAGTCTTCCTTGGCCGGGTAAGTCCAACCTGGGCTGTGCCCTGAACCATCTGCCCCACCTGGGCCTTGTGGCCATGTGCGACTCAGCCAGGAGATGCGTTGGTTGGCAGTCACGTCTAAGACACTCTGGAAATGTAAAGCACTGCTACGGTGTATCAACACCAGCCAGGTGGCCACTTGTGCAGCCTGCAGGCAGATAATATTTTAATTGTTTCTATCTTTATCGCTTTGAGAAGTACAATATGAGAAAAGTAAAAACAATCGAGGCTAAGTTTAGCCCTATGTTTTTGCCATTCGCTCAGGGAACAGAAAGCAATTTATTGGGTCAGATCACCAGACAAAAGAAACAGGAATAGAAGCTAATTTTTAATGGCAAACTGCCCCAACCGCTAGGCCCTGACGTCACTCTACACAAAGGGCCTTGGTAGGCCTCTGAGAAGAGGATACGGGGTGCCCCCACCCCTTCCATTCAATATCACTTCTGCACAAACAACTGTAAGTCTTTGAAGTCACAATGGCTGTGGACGTAGGAGTCTACTGAGCAATAGTCACTTGGTGTAGTGGAAAGGGCAAGGGCCTGGGTTCAAATCTCAGCTCTGTAAGTTACTTATCCTCATAGCTACTATGAAAATTAAATAGGCATCTCGTACAGGGTATAGAGTAGGCTCTCAAAAACAGCAGTCATCATGAGGATAATTAACAGTATTGGAAACGCTCTCCTAGCTGAGGCTTGACTCAACTAGAGCTGCAACTGGATACCAGCCTCTGTGGAACCCAGCTGGAGTGGTAACCTGGCTTCTCTGCACTAGAACTTCTCAACATGTGGGTTCTAGGCCACCTACAGGAGCATCCTTTGGGGCTGTTTGTTAAAATGCAGATTTCTAGGCCCCATCTCTGACTTGGTAAATCAGAATCTCTCTGGGTAGGCATTGGAATGCAGACGACA